GGAAAAGGTTGCGGGGCATCTGTGGCCGCGCTTTTCCACAAAAAAGCCCCGATCGCCATTTTCACGATCGGGGCTCTTTTGCAGAAAAGCGCGTCTAGACTGGCCACGGACGCTTTTCCGCAAAAAGTGCTTTTGCAGAAAAGCGTCTGTGCCAATCTAGACACTCTTTTCCGCAAATGCTTTTAACAGAAAACTTTTCCGTTAAAAGCATTTCCGGAAAATCATGCCAGTCTAGATGTAGCCTTCATCTTTAGGAAGAACTCCATCTCATCCTTAGTTAGAGGTCTGCCTGCCTTAAGGACACTCTCCCACCTTCAGGACTGTGGTATGGGAGAGGCATGGCTGGCACCCTCTGCTCCCACCCCCACAAGGTTACATTTTGGGTATCTTTATTTGCCTTTTTTTCCAAGTCAGTAAGTAGAATTAACCTCATTGCTTAGCTTTCACTACCCAGCATCTTATACATTTAAAAAATGCCAAATATTGCCAGAATTATGCCAGAATCAGAAGAGCTGGTGATACTTGTGGTATGTATTTCACACTTTGACACACATGGGCTTGGTAACTGTGGGAATACCTGAATGGCAGAAAGTTACAGAATTGTTCAATATATTTTCTGGATCCAGGCCTTTGCAGTCTGATTTTGCATCCATTGCTTAGTGACACAGAGTCTGGCTCCGGAGATAACTTCCTGTGCATCATGGGGCCCTAGGGATCAGCTTGGCTATGTCTACACTATACTGTTCTTCCAGAAAAAGCATAGCTTTGTCCACTTCTTTTTTTCGGAAGAGGATTTTCTAACATTTGGCCCATCTACACTGGGCCAAATGTCAGAAACCTCCCCTTTTTCAGAACATCACTTCTTCCTCATAAAATGAGGTTTACAGGGATGCCAAAAAAGTGCATCTGCTCTTCTGAAAAAAATTCTGGAAGAGCAGACTTGTTCCCTGGACGTGACAGAGTTTTTCCAGGATCCCAGAAAAACTTTGTAGTCTGTGTCTAGACTGGCAAGTTTTTCCGCAAAAGCGCATCTAGATTGGCACGGGCGCTTTTCCGGAAAAGCGCCCGTGCCAATCTAGATGCGCTTTTGCGGAAAAACTTGCCAGCTGTCTACACTGGCCGCTTGAATTTCCGCAAGAACACTGACGATCTCATGTAAGAAATCAGTG